GGCGCGCCTGCCTCCTTGCTAGCTGTTTGTTGTTGCTCACAGTGGTCTGGTAACAACCTCTCAAGGTAAGTTGATCCCCGGCGACCTCACCAACGTTTTCGCCCACCGGATACTTGATCGTCATTTGGTACGTAGATACGACCGCCTGGAACGCGTTCAAGCTCGTTCTCCCCATTATGATGTTGTAAGATGACTCAGCTCCTACAACCACAAATCTCACCATTCAGACTTTTCGGGTCGCTCCTTTCCCCAGAGCTACAGATAGACTCACCTCTCCCATCGACATAACCTCCCCTCCATTAAAACCATACAGGGCCGTAGCCACCGGCTTCAACTCCACATTCAACTCCCAATTGATTTGCACAAAGCAATCATAAAACATGACATCGACCGAGCTTCATGTGTCTATAAACACCCTCTTCACATCGAACCTTGCGACTTCCGCCATAATCACCAAGGCATCATTGTGGGGTACCACCACCCCTGCTGCATCCTCTGCCCGAAAACTAATTTCTGGTACTCGGGCTGTGATACCCACTTCCTCTCTTTTCCTCTTCATTGCTCGAACATGACCCTTCCTGGCATTATTCGAGTCTCCGTCTGTCGGTCCTCCTGAAATCATATATATTGTGCCTCTCTTCACTTGGCCTCCATCTCCTTCTCTCTCTCGCACCCTACTTCCTCACCTCCTTTTCCCTTCATCTCTTTTTCGACCATCTCAACCACCTCGTGGATCCTCATCATCATTTTCCTCGCTCTTCTCCACTGATTCCTCCCGACACCTCCTCTTCTCCTTATCCCTCATATTATCCTGCTAAACAAACTCCTTGAGATGCCCTGCTCGAATAAGGCGCTCAATTTTGTCTTTAAGATGTCGACAGTCTTCAGTAGTATGGCCATAGTCTTTGTGGAAGCGGAAATATCTCCTCGACTTCGGCTGAGTTGGCCCTTCGAACCTCGACCTCGGCCACGTCACATCTTTCCCATCTATCCCTTTCTCCATGGCCATCAAGACCTCGGCTACCTTTGCGTGCAACGGGGTATAATCATAAAATCTCTTCCCTCCAGAGATAGGCCGGTCCTTTTATCTGTCCTCTTGTCCCCGATCCTGCTTAGCTCGCCCCTCTCTCCTGGGCGAAACTCTTCTCTTGGGCGAAACTGCTTTCTCCTTCTTCGACTCCCTGCGACCCAACTCCTCTAGTTTGGAAAACTCCGCCTCAGTCTCCTCGAGATTAATATATTTCCTACACCTCCTCAACACCTCATCATATGTATGAGCAGGGATCTTAGCCAGAGAGGTCCGACATGGTCCTGCTCGCAAACTCCTAATCAACCCCCCCGCCTTTACCTCATCGACCGCAGACGGGATCTCCAAACAAGCCTGGTTGTATGGGGCTACGTATTTGCGCAGTGACTCCTTCTCGCCTTGTCTCATCGCCATCAGGGTTAAGTACGTCTTATCCTGAGCCACCGCGCTCGAATATTGATTCGTCAACTTCTCCGCAAAATCCTCAAAGTCTGCGATCGAGCCTGGAGGGAGCTGCTGGAACCAATCGAGGGCGCCTCCCCTGAGGGTCGATAAAAATGCCCTGCAACTAACGGGGTCAGCATATCCATGCAACACAGCCATGTTTTCGAACGTCCTCACGTGCCTCGACAGGTCCGAAGTCCCATCGAACACCAAGTTGGTATCCTTGAAGTTGGTTGGCAAGGGTGTGGCCAGTATGTTCGTCGAGAACGGGTGTCCTCGAGCACGTCTCTCCGTT